CCTTATATGGTGGGCAACCAGTGCGCATGTATGATCACAGATGGAAGACATGGGAGCCAGCAGTAGTACAGCAACAAGCTAGAGAACCAAGGTCGTACCTTGTGAAAAGGCATGATAATGAAACTGTATATCGCAGAACAAGGTCTGACTTGCGACCGGATACAGCAGTACAAGAGCAAGATACACCACCAAAACCACCAGCAGATGGCCAAGTACCACAAAGTACTAGTGGCATGGACACGCCCTCGAACTACACAACTAGATATGGACGGGTTGTCAAACCAACAACAAAGTTTGAATTGTAGTTCGTCGAGAGGAGGATGTAACATTATATGATATTGTGTGACAATGCATCTTTGTTTAACTAGTTACGTTATAGTTAATCACATGATTGTAATCGTATATATATATACACATGTACGCCAGATATATATCAGTTCGCGTACTGTTCAATACATGTAGTATAGAGTCAAGATAAACAAATAAATCGAGACATAACCAACCGAAGACTATCACACTTCTCTTTTACTCCGACGAAGGACTAGCGTCCGAAACGTCAGTAAGTTGTTTCATCTTTTCACGGTGTATAATTTACCTTTTCATCATTACTGTAATAATATAATGGCATTATTGTTTTGATGAATCCCCGGAGTTAGCCTCGATATATTCAAATTATTTCGTGTTCCATCATTCAACTGGAATATCGAAAACGGGCAAAAGAAATGAAGTCGTATTTTAGTTTGCTGTTAATAGATCGAGCTCACATGACATCGGGGTTTGGTTGTAGTAAAAGTCTACAATAATGGTACTTAATAGCGCAGCACACAGATTCTAAAAMTAGCTTAAAAACTCAGACAAACATAGCATTCTGTTTAACCGTGACAGCATTATATATACGAACCGATTTAATTATCTTTACTAAAAGTTGGAATAATAACCCATGTAAACTAAGATTTACTTCGATTGGCTATGAAAATTATCTGCTGAAAGTAAAGTATAAGTTTGTTTGTCTGAGTTTCGCCTGTGTCTTCGTTTTGATGACGTCATTTTTGCGCTGCGCTATTGCATATGGAGCGATGTATACTCTTATRAATGAGTACAAAGGGACCAATGTGAATAGAATACTTCMCGTGCCAATAAATATTTTTAGGTCAAGCACAATAATGGAATTGATCAAACCTAGCCTGCGTAGCGGCCCAAAGGGAAGGGAAGGGGGACTGGGGAGAGGAAGTTCCGTCACAGCCAAATAAAAACGAAATACCCATATAAGGAAAGAAAAATKAAYAGTTTATTTTCAATGAATATTTGTTTGAGTCGTGTATTTTACAAGTGAGAAAATCTAATCTTTTAAAATTAATGCAAATATGATAAAAGCTATAATACACCCTTGGTGCCTACCACGTGACCACGTGTCAAAACCGCGTGACATGTTGCCTCGCGTGAAATCGACTTAGGTCTTCTGGTATTTCATAAAGCAGTAGAATGCACGCAACGAATTAAATTATTCAAATTAATGTCAAATGTTAACCCACTGGTCACGTGATTTTCCACTATCACGTGGTTTTAAATGCCTTGATATACATATTATAGCTCACACGCTTGATAATTTTTGTTAGAAAGAAACCCTTCCCGGCGATAAAATATCGATTAGTGTCGACGAGAAGTCGATTACTTWTCGAAAAAGAACCGATTGTCCAAACCATCCGCAGCCTGTATTTTAAAAAGCTTTTTAAAGCTTGAATTGTTTCGCGAAAGCCGCGATGTATACATAACGGCAGCTCTTGTATTAATAGTTATTAATAGTTATTACTATTTATAATAGGATTCACCCTGGTAGCTTTGAAAGTGTTGATTCGATACTTCATCGTACACGTCACAGATCCAAGAGATCTCATTCAAATTGAACAAGCAGTCATAGTGTGGACCGTTTTCACAAGGCAGCCATGTTGCCTGGATCAAAAGAATTTTCCTCTTGTAGCCTCGAATTAACATGGCTTCCACGTGACAATGGTCTATTAGCACTTCCGAGGCGGAGGGAAAAGACTGGGTCGAGTTTGCATTGCAGTGCATTGTGGGACTGCTTTAGGGGACGAAACTAGACGACATCTTGGAAATATGTCCCCTAAAACAGCCCCACAATGCACTGCAATGTAAACTCGACCCAGTCTTTTCCATCAAACTTGGAATTGCTAATAACAACACAGATGAGAGAGCTTAGCTTTTGGATAGGGATCACTCCCCTTCAAACCTTTATAGAAAAAAATCGATTTTTATAAGCTAAACTCAACTTATCTTCAAAGATGCTATATTGATCCCTAGTATCCATAGCAACAGTATACGAGTTAGTCGAATCCGTGGTAACCGTAACCAATAGCCACGGAACGTTTTATAGATCTCAAAAAAAAAATCATGCATCGAATCCAATTCACCCTATCGTACTTATATATTAAAGTACTCGTACTATAACATCTAAAATCCCTTAGCATTTTATTAATGCGATTTGAGGCTGCGTTTCTTTTTGTCAGCGGACTTCTCATTGGTGTTTCTTTTAAAGTGTTCTTTTAAGATACTCGGCAGATTGTCAAAAGCTGCTTTCTTGATCTCTTCGCTTAGCTCAGCGCTTCGTTTTCTAATATGTTTCTTGGCTTTCTTGGCGTCTTCTTTGAGGACAGGAAGGTCGAGGATGGCCTTCTCGGCCTCGGAGGCCTGGGGAGCAACGACTACGTGTGTGGCACCGTAATCCCCGATCTTATGTCGAAGCTTCTTGATGAATGCTAGATGAAAAATGGCGGTTTTAGTAGTTGCTTTAAAATAAATAAGTAAATACAGTTTATAATAGTTCCCTTAACAGTTCCTGCGCCATCTTGAAAGGTAGCCGTACCTCTGCATTGGGGCGAGACGAATGGTGGGCTTGCAATGATAGAGACACGCGAATAATTGTCCAAGGTGTTAAAAAAGGTCTATCATTGCAAGCTCACCGTTCGTCTCGCCCCAATGCAGAGGTACGGCTACCTTTCAAGGTGGCGAAGGAAACTGTGAAGGGGAATATTATCCTTGTTTTACACTCGATTAGTACTTTATAGGTACTGACTAAGCAGCATAAGGGCTATTAGAAGACTTTTTTCCCAATTCGTGCAATGCCGCTGCCCTTCTTGATTACTGACTCATTTAATAATAATAATAATAACAATGAGGTTCTTATATGGCCCATTATCACATTGTCTCAATGCGTTTTACATTGCAGTGGAGGACTTTTACGGGCTGCATATTAAACGCGCTATTAGCAGCCGTGCAGCTTACAATCATGAGTGATTTATTAGTATGTTAGTGTTATGCCTCCACATTGGGATAGGCTGTTGAACCGGGAGACAATCCCCTCTTACACGAATAATTCAACAGGTTCTTTTATGTTCCCCATAACTAATGATAGTCATTTACTAATGGCTAGCCATTTTAACGACAGAATATTTACAAATACCAAAGTAAAGGGGTTTCCCCCGGGTTTTCCTCCGTCCGTAAAACTGTGCATGTGAGTTTGATTGTTGTATGTCGTAAATATTAGCCATTCCGAGATTGAGGAAAGACTGGGTCGAGTTGACATTGCAATGCATTGTTGGACTATTACAGAAGCCATCTTGGAAATATGTCCCATAAAGCTGATTTTACACGAGACGATTTGCAACAACGATTTTTCGTGCAATGCTTTTTCCCATAAATTTTATTAGGTTTTAAAAATGCCAAAGGGAATAAAGGAACAAGCATTTTACATTCGCAAAAGTTTGCCATGTTTTGAGCTGATTTCAATTCATTGCAGATTAAAATGGCTAAGGCCTAAGGCAAACGTCGAACTTTCCATGCACCGAACTCATTAAAAACAATGGATATCAGGTGATAATGAGGCGGCATTCTTTGATGTAATTAAGTTCGGTGCATGGAAAGTTCGGCGTTTGCCCTAGGCCTAACTTTTTTCAGCGTTGCACGAAAAATCGCCGTTCAGTGTTTTTGAACGGTGCAATTTGAATAAGATAAGATGTCGTGGTAGAATTAGTTTTCTTTAATTTTTTTTATATATCTTACCACTAGCTTCTTTAGGTAGATTTTTGTCGATAATTTCCCTGATTTTAGCCTTGACTTCAGACTTTTGGTACTCGGGAACAGAGAGCAACCCCGCAACATCTTCCTTCAACTTTAGAATTGCTTGTCTGAAGGCCTCTATTGTCTTCTTTTCTTTGAAGATATCCAGGATGATTGCCATGGAAGACTTGATACCTAACACAATAAGATAGCCTTGTTAGGACTGCATTATATAGTCACCTCGCTACGCGCGCTCTGATTGGTCGAGAAATATTCTTAATAGGGCACGATGCTGACACAATCTGTGCGGACGTAGCCATCTTTGCGAGTTACACCGTGCGACCTTAACTATATTAGTCCCCTTGCAGTACGTCGGAATGCAGCTGAGTTTGGAGGCAATAACAATAGGTTTCTGATTCTCAAGAGACTGAAATTCGTTCTCCAAATTTAGCTGCTTTGACGTCACATGCAAGGGGTTTTATAGACGTATTTTTTGAATTCGTTAATTACCGCTTTGCTCCTTGATTACAGATTCACTCTAGATCAGGCTCAGCCTTGATTTCGCGTAGAATATTCACGTGTTCCAGTCAAGGTCCGTCAAATTTCAAAGTGTTTGTATTGTTGAAGTTGTGCACTCTTAACTTTACCGTTGGTATTTGTGAATATTTAAACACTGATACGAGGCTGACCCTGAGTAATAAGCCTTTTCACAGTTTAAGAATCGATTCCACTGCGCATGCGATTTTATCCCGAATTTCTACCTTCCTTTGTCTAAACCTTCTTTTGTTCTTAATTAAACAAAAGAAGGTGAGAAATTCGGGATAAAATCGCATGCGCAGTGGAATCGATTCTTAAACTATGAAAAGGTTTATTGAGTTTGCGACCAAGGAACGCAGCGGTATTGTACAAACTGGAAAATGTTACATTATGTCCACAACTTCACACACAACAGATAGACATTTTTCTTGCATCAGAAGACTTTTTTCTGCTTCAACTCACCTTGGTTAATATGATTCTTCATTTTATCGACTTTAGAATCATCCAACCAGATATCACGCTGCAAGTAACAATCATAAAAATCAAAAATTTTGAAATCAGAGAAAAGATTATAAAAAAAAAAACCAGGCATTCAAAAAATGTAATTTTTAATTTATTCTTGATTAATTTTTTTTGTTACTTGGTTTTAAAAAAAAATAAATTATAGTCAGCTCTCGCCTTGGGGACACCACAATCTTACTGACAGCTCGCTATTAGATATTCGACAGAAGCAAAATCCTCGACGAAAAATACTGACAAAGAAATGAACGTAAATTACTGTCGCTAGTGCTGTGACGGTCCCGAGTGTGTCCGATGTAACGAGAGTTGAACGTATATTGATGGTTTTCAACCATTTCCAAGAGAATTAAATAACAAAAGACACGGTGGCCATGTTGGACGATATAACAAAAGAGACTAATGACCAATCTTTTGTTACATTCATCCAACATGGAGGCTGTGACAATTTGTAAAAAAAATAATACTAGTACCATAAACTAGTGTAAGTGACCAGCTCTGTGTATGAGTATATTTCGTATGTTATTCGCGCCAACGTTTAGCTTGTCCAAATATCTTCGTCCTACTGAGTCATAAGTTTTGAGTGTTGTGCTGCAGCCCAGTCGAGGTTGTTTCAGGTTACACTAAATTGAAAATAAAGTTTGCCTACCTTGTCTTTCTTGGTCTTTTCTTTCTCCTGTTCGATATCTCTCTTCCTATTTGTCCTTTTCTCTTTCTGCTTTTCCTCCTCCACAGGTTTTTCAGTCAGTTCACGTCTTGTTCTTATCAACTGCACTCCTTCTTCTTCTTCGTCAACGGATCTGCTCTTTCGTACTTTTTCAAGAAAAAATATTGTTCTGATATTAAATAGATTCGGGGCAGCCATTGTGAGACAAAATTAGATATTTGGCACAAATAATAATACAATAGAAGGGTGAAGCGCCTCAATTTCGCCGACTTTGTCGCCCGCGTTGCCGTCTTGCAGCATTAGGTCCCTAACGTTTGAGGCTTAGTAGGTTATATCATTGATATGGAATCATGCTTCCCGTAAATGAAAGCTAATTTTAACCATCGTTGTCCATTATCACTTCTATGTAATTATCTTGCCTTCCTCAGCCCAAATTCCTAACCGGGAACGCCTTCATACCTTTGTTACTCTTGTCGTTTTCTTTCTTTTCCTCCACACTTTCTTCCTTTTGGGTTGTCTTTGGCACATCGGCTACCACAGGCTTTTTCTCTTGCTTGACAGCAGTTTTTGCCTCAACCTTTGGCTGGTCAGCGGTTTTTGTCTCAACCTTTGTCTGGTCAGCGGTTTTTGTCTCAACCTTTGGTTCCGGTACGGTTACCACCTTTTGTTTTGTGTCTTCAAGATACTTAGTCTCGGGTACAGGTGATTTGTGTTTCTTCTCAATCTTTTTACCCGTGGGTTCCTCTTCAAGCACGGACCTACACCATACCAAAAATTACTCTTTCTAAGGGACCAGTCATTATTTAAGTCAGAGGGGGAGCGGGGGATTGGAAGAGAAAATGTATTTGATGCAAGAAATAATAGCAACCTAATAGCATTCATATTTTTCGGGTACCCCCTTCAATCTTTTAAAAAATTCTCCCAATCCTCCTTTTGACCATTCAAAGCCCCGCATGTACCACTAAAAAAAATTTGAGGGCCCCCAATTTCTCCTCCAGCCCTAACTTTAATCTAACGCTTTTCAATAGCGCAAACGAAATTGTACGAATTGCGCATGCCAGTGCGACAAGACGCAAAAGAGGCCCCCCAAAAATCTACTTCGCCGCGACGAGGATTCGGCGCGTGCTATTGAGGAGCATTGTAATAGTTTTTTTACCTTCGTCTTCTCTTCTTAGCTTCATTGGACTCGCCAGCAATAGTAGAGGTTGTTCGCTTGCGGCGTTTTTTGGTTTTGCTGTCGTCCTTCTCGACGAATTCTCCATCTCCTGACTCATCGATCACCATTCGACGGTATTCGAACTTGCGCTCATTTTCTTCAAGAGACAAATGAATTCGTCACAGTGCGAATCAAAAAACCGTGGATAATAACAATAACGCTTCTGATTGGCTGATTAAGCATTTGTGAAATATTTCTAGGTGCCCAAGGTTTTTCGATTCGCACTGTAATCTTATTCTTTTATAGTTTATACGCTCTATATCGCTAATGATGGGAATCAAGGAAGGTGTAGTGGTAGAGTGAAGTTTTTAAACCCGTGAAATAGATATAAGACTAAGGCTAGTTTATGGCAAACGTCGAATTTCACATAAGTCGAACCTAATAACATCAAAGAAGACCGCCTTGTTATCCATTGTTTCAATTAGGTTCGGCTCATGTGAAGTTCGATGTTTGGCCTGAAGCTAATACACTTAGTAGATCCTAATTCCATTTTTTTTTTTTTTTTTTTTTTTGCGTCTTTTGACTATCACACGTTGACTAGTATATTTATTTCACGGGTTAAATGCCACTCGCCTCACGCCCTGGGGGTATATCGTTTGATTCCTGGACTCAGTATCTAATGTTTGTTAGGTCTCTACCTTGGTCTTCTTGTTTTTCTCCCTTAGCAAAACCTAACAACCTAGATTAATCTAACTTAATCTGCAAGTAAGCCATTTTTGTTATATAATCCATTATTGCTACACTAAAGAAAAACTTTTCTCATGCGTGAATTTCAGCACGTTTTTAAAGAATTTTGAAGAGTTTGAGTGAGAAAATATATGTTTGYTTTCTCAAAGTTTACAAAAAAGTTCGAGAATATACTTTTGTCAGACCAAGATACTGTATTAACGAACACAATATGAAAGAATTAGCCTTAAGTTTCAAGCATGGACACTAAGTTTTGACCTTTTGTGAAGTCCAATTTATTAGGCATGTTTGAAAGTCAAATTTACATATGTTTGGACTAATTTGAACACGAATTCARATCATACGCAGACGTTTTTCACTCGTCTCCATTATTGTATGTTTGTAGTTGTTTATGGCGAAGCTGAATAAATAAAATTAGTCGTAAGTTGTTTGGTTTTACCTGCCCCCTCTTCTTGACTCTCTACGTCACGATACTGCCTGTCATATCCACCAACGTTGCCTAGATAAGAGACCAGAAGATCGCGGCCTTCATTCAAATCAGCTTGGCGCTTCTTGACCTGTAACTCTTTTTCGTTGGATTCCATCAAGTCTTGTGCAGCTAGTATAAGTTTAAGGAAAAATAAGTTATCTAAATAGCGATACTTTATTAACATTCAACATTGGTCTGTCCTTTTACTTTCCAACTATGAGTATACAGGCTGTAAAAATGTATTTGATTTGATTTTAAATTAGGAAAATCTTATTTAAAGTATCTTTGTTTTTAACTTGTATATGGATCGGTGTGTGATTGCTTGTGTTATGTTGGTTTGGTGTTTGGTCGGTTGGTTGGTTGGTGGGTGGGTGGGTTGGTTGGTGGGTGGGTTGGTTCGCTGCTTGTCGGATGCATATTTGCAGATTTGTTAAATGGATATAGTTTCCTAATTTGTACTTTTAGTTGGAATTGAATAATAGAGACAGAAAAGGAAATATATTTAGTGACTGCTATAGGCAATATATATAGTGATACATTACTGAAGTTGTTTGATTTTGTTGGTTGGTTGGTTGGTTGGTTGGTTGGTTGTTTGGTTGGTGGGTTGGTGGGTTGGTTGGTTGGTGGGTGGGTTGGTTGGTTGGTTCGCTGCTTGTCGGATGCATATTTGCANCGGGTGGGTGGGTTGGTGGGTGGGTGGGTTGGTGGGTTAATTGGTTGGTTGGTCGGTGGGTTGGTTGGTTGGTTAAAAGGGAAAGAAACATACCTCCTAAAGCTGTGATGGCCTTAGCTTTCTCTTGCTCCAATTCTGTTTCCGCCATGCGTTTTTCTTTCTTTCCCTCTGGAGATTGAAACAACATTATAACATCTAAACGACTTAACACTAAAGGATAAAGGAATGGATGGATAGTTGGGGTGGAATGTTGAATAAATGGGAAGATAGACGAATGAATGGGTGGATTAATGAATAAATGGATGGATGAATGAATAAATAGATGTATGGAAGAATGAATGAATGAATAGATGGATGGATGGATGGATAGATGAACAAACGAATAAATAGATAGATGGATGAATGAATGTATAAATGAATGGATGGGTGAATGAATAAAAAAATGAATGAATGAATGAATAAATAGATGGATGAATGAATAAATGAATTAATGTATGAATAAATAGATGGATGGATGATAGGATGGATGATATATAAAGATCCTCATTAATATTAATAGATGGATGGATGGGTGAATTAATAGATGGATGAATGAATGAATAGATGGATAGAGAAATGAATAAATGGATGGATGGAACTGTTAAATAAATACTTACGAGGTAATAGTTTCTTGGCAGCTGTAATAAGAAAAATAAACATGTTTTTTTTAGTTTTAATAAAAACTCGTGCAGCAAAAAAGTCCTTTCTTTCTCTCTCATTCCTTCCTTCTTTCTTTTCTTTCTTATTTCTTTCTTTTGCATTGTGTTATTTTCCTCTTACCTTTCAAGGCGGCTTCAGCAGCTTGAAAAAAGAGGGGGAAAATACGTTTAGAAAATAGCTCAGAAAAAATAATTCGCAGTGAAAAAAGAATAAGAAACAACAGTAATACATAAGGACCATGAGCATTTTGTGGGGGATGGAGATGGGTGTCCTTTAATTTATGATTACCTTTCATGAGATGAGTTGCAACTTCGACTGAAAGAAAGCAGATTTGAAATTATTTTCGGTGCAGTTTACCCTGGATTCCAGGAAGGAAGGAGATAGAAAAGGACAAAGGAAAGTTGGTAGAAAAGAAGGAAGGAAGGAAGGCAGGGAAGGAAGGGAGGAAGGAAGGAGGAAGGAAGGAGGAAGGAAGGAGGAAGGAAGGTTGTAGGAAATGGAGGAAGAAGGGAAGGAAGGAAGTACGGAAGGCAGGAAAAAGGGAAAAAAGGAGGGACAGAGAGAATATACAAAATAAAGAAATAATTTAAATAAAGGAAGAAAAAAACAGACCAACTTACCATGACCTTCATCTGAAAATTAAAAACAAAAGAAAAATAAATGTTAGAAATATTCCATTTCTTACCAAAAGCTATGTATTTCAAGTCACAGAAACTATCCCTAAGATTATCCTACACAGGAAGCCCACCGCGTCCTGCACTTTATGTTAGAAAACCTTAGTTTTCATCTTTCTTTCCTCTAAAAAAATTAAAATTGATAGCGTGCATTTCCTTCCCCATGAGAATGAAATGTCAAACGATGTTTGTCTACTATGTTCGTTAACAAGACAAAAGACACCAAGACCAAATGTTTTGTCAAAGTCCACGAAAATGGCGGCTATGACGTCACATGCACGTAACGTAACTCACCAGTTATCTTCTTTTCTGGGTCTTCCTTCGCAGATCCGTCATCTTCTTCGTCTTCATCGTCGTCCTTGTTATTCTTGAACTCGGCGACGTCATGTTTTTGACCATCTGCAAGAAAACAAATGCCAACCAAGGGTTGTGATAAAAATTTTGCTTTAGTCACGAAATAAATATAAAATATATGGCTTGCGTGTTAATACCACTTGTCATTTCCTAGAGTATTATTTCTTTGTTTAACGATTGCGCATGAGAAGACTCATGAATATGGATACAATTCAAACGAATAAGCTTTTTTTTCCATGAGAATGATACGTGGTCTGAAATGGAAAAACATTACCCCCAAGCTGAAGAGCAAGATCGGCTTTCATGTGCTGTATTTTCTATGGTATGGGAAGTATCTTACCAATGGAATACACAGAGCTATGCCAGAAAGAACCGCAGAATCTTGATTTATCGCCGTAACATTTGCTGCTGCATTCGCTGTCATCGACCATGCCGTATTTACCGTACTTGTTCCCGCAGAAGCAAAGATAGGCATACTGAAGACCTGCAAACTTGTACCCGGCTAACTTGCATCGACCAACGCACCACTCAGGTGTCATGGCGAACTTGGAGAATCTGACAGGGAGATCGCGTTCTGGCTTTTTGTCTCTAAAGCAGCCTTGGTAAGCTATGGAAATGAAATAAAAAGTTACCAACGTGATTAAATATGAATTTTTAGATGCACAAAGTCGAACAAGACCCTTGTTTAAGCTCAAAAACATATATGCCTACTCAGCATCATTAAGGCATGGCTCTCAGATGAAAATCTGTTTGGCTATATCATAGCCAGTTTTCTACGAATCTTCCCCAAACTTGGCAAGTTAATGTCTTTTGTAAAAAGAAGGAACCTTAGAGCCTTGGTTACCATGGAAACTAAGTCACGTGACCACAAGGCCGCCATCTTGGATTTTTAAACAAATCGTTTGTAGTCGGATATCTTGGAAATTATATTAAATTTAATTTTTAGAATATTTTCTGTATTTTCCAAAAAATTAAAAATATTCTAAAAATTAAACTTAATATAATTTCCAAGATATCCAATTAGATCCATATAGGTATTGCAAATAT